TTTCATTGATTTCCGCTCTGATTTTAATTATTTCTTGATTTCTGCTGCATTTGCTGTTGTTTTGCTCTTCCTTTTCTAGGGCTTTGAGATGAAGTGTGAGCTCATTTATTTGTTGTTTTTCCTTTTTTTGAGGAATGACCTCCAGGCGATGAATTTCCCTCTTAAAACTGCTTTCATTGTGTCCCATAGATTCCGATATGTTGTGTCTGAATTTTCATTAATCTCTAAGAATTTTTTGATTAGTATTTTCTTTTATCTTATGTTCATTCTTATATGCTTATACTCAACTTTTTTTTTCTCCTAAGTGATAGTTTCTCTACACAATTGTTTATCATCTCATTCTTTTAAAAAATTTCTATGAATAATTCTTGTAGCTTTGAAGCATTTCAAGATTTAGTTGTTCTTAAGACATTATTTCAAATTATTGATAAGAATAATATTCAGTTAGTGAAACTGCATATTTTATAATGATGCCAGAGAAACAAAATGACATCTGATCCTACGGACTTTTGCTCCAGGATGCTTAATATAAAACAAGAACATTTCATATTGAAAAAACAGAAATGAGTGGAGATTTCTGGGGGTATCTGAGACCTCATCTTGTGCGGATATAACTTTGCTGGAAGATGCAGGAGTTCAGGAACTGCACTGTCCCAGTGCACTGGTACAGAGATGCTCCTGTCCCAGAGCCTCACAGGAGGTGGGCACCTTGTTTTGACCACATGATTTCACAGGTGACCTCAGGAATCAATTGGAACAGCTGATTCTAAGGCCTCACAGTTAGGATTATAAAAATAATGATCATTTTTTAAAAAGTATCAAATTTTTCTTCCCTCAAAATGACTACACTGTAAAAGTTATTACTACTACTTTTTTAAAAAAATTTATCATCATCATCAGTACTAGGGATTGAACCCAGAGGCGCTTTATCACTGAGCCACATCCCTATCCCATTTTTAAGTTGTTTTATTTAGAGACTGAGTTGCTAAGTTGCTGAGGTTGGTTTTGAACTCATGATCCTCTTGCCTCAGCCTGCCAAATTGCTGGGATAATAGGCATGCACTGCTGGGCTTAGCCTTTTCCTTTTTCTTTTTAATACTAAGCTTTGTATGCCTTCTTTTGGGGAATGGATGAATGTGTGGTTTGGCCCTGTGAATGCTCCCCCTCTTGTTATGAAAGAACTCCTGGAATATCTCTATCAACTCAGCTGGTGTCTGCTGGCCTCAGCAACCTACAGTCCCAAAGAGAAACCCAATTGCATGGGGCCCTTCTGGAAGCCTCACCATCAGGGCTCAGATTCCAGGCACAGCATCAAAGACTAAATCACAATGTGAAAGTTGAAGTCTTTGTAGGACTTACAGACTCCTTAGGGGGAGTGTACAACACACCTGGAGGCCATACACTGAGAGGAAGAGTGGGTACCTATGGGCCAATACATAGCACAGCAGAGAGGAAGAGGGGGTCCCTATAGGCCAATACACTTATTGGCTGAGGGTGTGATCCAGACAGGTACCCCAGGGGAACTTTCACTGGTGGATTGAAGTAAGCAGGCAGTAGTTCCAAGGAAGTCACACTGTGACTGAGAGGGGGTCACCTGAAGCTCCTGAGCAAGCTTTAAATAGTCCTTTTAAGGGAAGCAGCTAGAAAGTAGCCTCTGAGTGGTTATCTCTGGCCACCAGCTAGAGCCATCAGGTTCCCTTATAGTATTGAAAACTATGTTGGGGTGACATCCAATAAGCAGGTACTTCTAGTGTGAAAATTAAACTTCTGTTTAACGCTACATGAAATTATAAGAACTCACTACCTGAGGAAACTGTCCTTACAGGATCATTTGTATGGTCTTAATATGTGATGACTTGTTTCACCATAAAGAAAATAAACATCCCATCTGACTCAAATGTATGATATGTCAAGATCATTGTACTGTAATGTGTTACTAATTAAAACAAATAAAAAAAAGAAAAGAAACAATGCAAATGCTTTTCATCCTTACAACAACCCTGTTAGTTGTGTGATCTTGTTGTCTCCATTGTACAGATGTGAAAGCTGAGATTGAGGCTGAGGTATATCCCAAGATCAGACAACTAACAGGGACATGTTCCTCTACCTGTGCCCTGTGTGATCTGCTTCTAGAATCTGCTTGGTCCTCAACAAGCAAAGGATGGTGGGGGAGGGGCATCACAGTGATGAGAAGAAGAAACCTGAGCAGAGAGGACTGAAAGGGGAGCCATGGACCATGACTGTCAAAGGACATCATAAAGGAAGGCCTGCTGGGGAAGGGAGCAGGCCTCTCATATTAAGCAGTTCATGGATTAATCCTTACTTGCCCCCAACCACAGTGTGACTTCCATTGGAGGGACTACTTTGTATACAGTAGGAATGACTGGCTGGACTGCTGAACTTGTTATACTAGAGAAATTGCAATGATAACACTCCAGGTAGCAAAGCCTGCCTATAACCTTCCAGAATTCTTTGAAATGACTATAATGCCCCATTAACATAATGCTCCAATAACATTCCAACCACTTTGGGGCTTCTTAACCATTTTTTTTTTTTTTTTTTGTGCCATGAACAAATCTATTCTGCTGTTTGCTGAAGCCTATGAGTACCTTCTCTGAGTAATGCTTGTAAATGCTGAACATTTGCAACTGGCATTACAGAGAAAAGCAATTATTGAAGTGCAGTAATGAGTGTGTAGAAATTTTAATATGATAGGAATTCTTGATTATTAATTAGCATGAAAAAATAACAAAATCTGGTGGTGAGCTTAATAACTACTGTTATTTTGAAGAGATGAGAGATGCAAACAGTTTTCCAACCACACAGTGATTGCTATAAAAATATCCGTAATTAATGTTGGTGACAAATGAACATGCTGAACCTGTGTGGCCTGTTTGTCTACTTCCATGATTGAATTAAATGTTTAGTTTAGTTAGAGGTTAGTGAAAATAAAGATGTAATTGTTTTCTAATGATGTTTGCAGAACCCCTAAATGTTGCCTGTCCCCTATGTTAAGAACCCTGAGCCATGTGGGGCACTCCTTCAAGTAAGTCCTATGAATAACCTCATGGGCTTTTGATTGGGCTTCTAATGAATCTTTAGCTCAAGTTAGGGAAAATGATACCTTAAAAATATGGAGCCTTCCTGCTTGTGTTTCTTGTAGACTGCATTTATGTAGGCTTTTTTTCCCCCTGTTTTTCAACACAGTGTTTATAATGATCCCCATAAACACTTGCATCATTTTGTAGGATGCATTCTTAGAAATCATTATATTTTGTTACCATTTGATATTCTCTCTTATTTTTTCCTGTTTTTTTTTTTTTTTGTAAGTATGGCTAGTGTTTAGATAGAGCATTAGTTTTTGAATACTGAGCTAATAGCTAAACAACCTTTTTTGGATTTTTCTACTATGGAGTCACATCATTGGAAAGTGCTGACAGTTGCTTTTTCTTCTTTCCAGTTCATATGCTTTTCTTTTTAAAATTTTCTTCTTGTTTACTGATAGGACTTGCAGTTTAATGACAACAGAAGCAATGTTGTCTATGAGTCTTCTTCCTGATTTTAAAGGAAATCCTTCTGATATGTCCCCATTGAGTCATGTGCTGGTACCAGTTTTCAGTAGTTGTTGGCAAGAACCAAGCATTAATTTTTCATGAGTTTTGCAAGCCAGTTTTAAAATATCATCATTATTCAAAATTAAATTATGTAAATGTGAAAATAAGCCAGTCATCATATTAAAATACAGGTAATCAATTATCACAACTTACCTCTTACTGCCTTTTTTGTGGTGTCTTGCTATAACCCCTGCTCTTCAGGCTGTTTACATGTCTTCTGTGTTCATGGTAGAAATGCTATGTGGCTTGTGTATGCATGCCTTCCCAGCCCCAGGTTCAATAACTTCACACTAAGGGCTTTGAATTGGCCTTGTTGAGAATAGTTACATCATGGACAATGACAAAGGCTGAAATGAGGGGTTTTATTTTCCTTATCAGCCTGTTGTTAAATATGGGCTAATGCACTTATGACCAAGACTGGTGCAAGTTCTAGCCTCTTAAGAAAAAAAGAAAGGAGAGAGGGAAGGAAGAGGAGAAAGGACATCTTCTTCCAGTGTAATAACCTGCTTGTATTGTTTTTTCTGCAGACAACTGTAATGCTCCACTGGCCTCTGCCTTGCCGAGGGTATCCTTCAGTAGCTCTTCAGAGCTGTCCAGTAGCCATGGCCCTGGCTTTGCAAGTCTAAATCGGAGAGATGGTGAGTCGGCTGCTGTCTTTGCTCCTTCCTCAGAGAGAGCTTTCATCCTTAGTTATTTTCCATTCTTGTAGCTCAAAAATTAATATTTGCATTTTATTGAATTTGAAGAAATTGGATTTTTCATGTTATTTTCTATTTGCTTTCTTTTTATTATAAATTTATAAATTATAAATAAATTATAAATCTATTTTTTATTTTGTTTTGATAGCTTTCTTCCTTATTGGTTGCCAGTAAGTGCTCATAAAGGAAATTAATCAGAAGGGAATTATTGGGGCTACTCATTATTTTCAATGATTTCTTTTTAGTTTTAGAACAGGCTATATAAAGGTTACTCATCTAGTAAGCTGATGATGAAAAACTCAAATATATAAATAAGTAAATGAGCCAATGTTAGAGTCACTAGGGGAAGTCAACAGACACCAGGATGCTGATGGGCAATGACCACTATCCTGGGACATCACATGGGAGAAGGCCAGGGGTAGGCTCTGCTGATAGTAGGGATTTTCTTCCTGTACAGTGTGAAGGAAGCAGCAGGCTTGCTTTTTGGAGATGTCTTATTCTATCACAAGACTCCAATGTCATTGAGTAAATTACCTTTTCTGTTGCATGAAGAGTAGTTCAGAGGATTAAATCAGTGAATACAATAAAAAGTTAAGTGCTCTACAACCTTTTAAAGAGGTAGAGTGATTTTTCTGTGAGAGTGAGCTAATTAATTCAGGAAGTACAGCTTAAAATGAGCTCTGTCTGCCCTCTGTAAGTACATCCTTGTAAATGTTGGTGATGTAGACTTAGAGTTGATATTTGTTCCTTATATGTAATATTTCAAGATCTGGGTTTTAAGTATAGCTTGAGTTTCTTTATCCCTTAAAAATGAAGCATGGTACTTAGTTATCAGATACATTGATAGGAAAAAGTTGATACAAGAGGAAAACCCAGAGAATGAGGGTTGGAGACCATGCCCATGATTGTTCACTCACATTTTTAAAAAATATAGTTTTAGTTGTATATGGACACAATACCTGTATTTATTTATCTTTATGTGGTGCTGAGGATTGAACACAGGGCTTCACATGTGCTAGGCAAGTGCTCTACCAGTGAGCCACAACCCAGCCCCTCATTTTTTTTTTTTAACTGTGAAGAATCATTCTGTGGCCTGACCATTAGATTTCAAATATTTTCTAGCATGACAGTAAAAATATATTTTCATTGCAACCAGATTTTACCTGTTTATATTATCAAATTACCATTTTTGGCCTGTTGGTTACTCTAATATCAGGTTAGCATCTAAAGTTTTCAGAGGTTTCAAGGATTATAATAACCAAATAAACACTCAATTAAATTATTTTAAAGAAGCTCAATGGGCTTGCATGTTGTGTTTCTGATCTGCAGAGACACAAACCTGTTATGATTTAGGCTCCACTGCTATGGATAACTGTGAAGGTTATAAACATACAGAGGGATAAATCTCCAAGTTTAGGATCCAGTTATTTCCATTATTCTTTAGCTTTTTATACCAAGAAACATAAACTGTTGAAAAGTTATTAACTCAAAATGCCTGCACTAAAGTTTTTAAAATTGATAGATTTTAAGACTTAAAACTTATACCTAATTAAGGAAATTAATGCCATTGGATATGGATATAAATTTATTTAAAAGATGGATTTGATTGTTCACTTCATTGCCATCAAAATTAAACTAAAATTAAGAGTTAATATGTCTCATATAAAAGCAGATGGCTGAAATCTGCATTCTAAATATGAACACACTATAATATTAATTTTCACTTTTTCCTTCTCAAAAAACTCCTAAGAAACTTTGTACTCCAAATTTATCCAGAAGTTAAAAATAAATAATAAGCGCCCAGAAAACTATCTCCAAAAGTAGCCACATGAACCTTTCATTTCACATTTTGCTTGTGCAGAGTCTCTAGGGTCTCTGCGATTCTAAATGCTGCTGCCTTCCAACTCCAGTGTTACCTTCTCATCCTGTCAGTCATGGAGGCTGTAGGTGCAGGCCTGAGACCAAAGCCGTGATCTTGGCAGAGGTAGTTGAAATTAACTAGGAAGAAGCATATTGAGGTTTTCTCTTTTCTGCTCCTTGCAAATGCTTAGATAAATGTTCCTTTCCAGGAAAGGACTGCTCTGCTCATAACTCAGATGCTGAAATTGTGGACTCTAAAGCTGAAAGTGGCCACCTGCATGGGAGACCCCATTGGAGACTGTGGAAATTGTCAACTGCTTTGATTGCAACTCAAAGTGGCAGTGAGAATGCGGTATCATTTATTGCACAACAAAAGTAGATGGAGACAAATGGAACTGATTGACTTGTTCCTTTTTCCTTTTAATTCTCAGCCTTACTAGTGCTGAGCCATTGGGCATGTTTCCACAGAAAATACACTGTGCTCATCTGTTGATGGAGCCAGGAAAATATTTGCCTAATACTTCCAATACTGTTCATTGCTGTGCATTTTAGAAACTCTTGTTAACATTAAGATACTTATTTCTCACTTCCATACATTCAGTAGTATACCTTCTATTATGGACATCAGGAAGATAAATAAGAAAATAAAAATGATTAGATTGAGGAAAATGTTTAGATTTGTCCTGAAGATACTAAATAGCTTCTTATAATATGGGACTTGACTATTTGAGTTCTCCTGTTTCCCCAGTAGTATATGATATAAAATTCATTGGCTTTTAATCCAAGAATGTTTTTAAAAACTTGAAAGAGTAAATAATAATTAAAAATATCTGAAAGTATGTCAACTCCTGATATAAATCAGATTGTTGCTAAATATTCAATGCAAATCTTTCCGTCACATTTTTTTTTCACAGAACCTAGATTTTTTATACAGAGAAGTTTTTGCCTTTCCATATCAGATGCTTAATTCTGTTTATTTGTTCTTTCTAAAAAAATTAAATCTATGAGGGCCAAGAGATGTTCTGTTTTTAAACTACCATTGTTTTCCTGAAAAAAACATTTTTTTAAAAAAAACCTTGCAGATGCACCATGGGTGTGAAGTGCTGTGGACAGGTCAAAGGTAAAAATGGGTGTTTTAAATATGTCCATGTACTGGTGCACAGAGCCCTGTCTTGGAACTACATAGCTTTATTTAGTCAGTTTCTATGCAATGCAAAATGGTAGCACGAGTGAGGAAAAGCTCTGAATCAGCCCTGTAGTCATCACATGGAAGGGATGGTGCTCTGGTTCTTTCCTGCTCCTTCTCTAGCTTCAGAGCCTCTATATTCTCCGCAGAGCCTAAGTTACCAGATGAGACAAACAGAATGAACCAGCCAAGTTCATCCATGTTCGTCCGTGTCTTCAGTGTTGTCAGCATCCTTCAGGAGGCAGTGTTAGGTATGACTTTGTCTACCAACTATAAAATTACCTCCAGAATCCGGGCTCTGGTAGACTCAGTTGCCTTCTTTGGAGGGTTAAGCACCTTCCAGGAATGCTCAGATTTCTTATTGCTGTTCCTTTTTCTTTGGAAAATGGTTTTGGGATGCACAGGACAGTCTCCTGCCCTGGTAGAACTGTATGATAGGAGGAAATGTCATGGTATGTCAGCTCCTCATGTTGGTCCTTGACTCTTGCTGTGTGCTGAGGGAGTTTGCCTGACCTTAACCCTGAAGACTAGTTGACTTCTGTTCCTAAAGCTTGTGGTAGACTTCCTAAGTGTTCCCAGGGAGTAGTCATCATTCTATGCTGAATGTGTCCCATGTCACTTCACTTATTGCTGGTGGTGTGGCCTTCCTCAGGTCTGTGAGTCTTGCTTCTGGCTGAGCAGCAAGTCGGGGCCTTGATTATATATATTTTGCTCCTGTCAAGTTGACCTGTGTATATTCAGATTCAGCTCAATTTTTGTTTTCTTTTGATGACCTCTTGGGAATTCTGGGTCACTGTGAGGGAGTGGAAAAAGTATTGATGGGTTTTGTACTGGCAGGTTAGGCTCAGAACTGACCTATCAGTTCCACCCACAGCTCAGCTGCCACACTAGTCACTTTGCCCCATGAAACCACAGAGGGCATGGAAGAAGGATGCTTTACATGGCTAAGAAGTGGGAAACCAGGAATTATAAATTCTCTGACTTGGCATGGTACATCTTACAGTTTTGCTACTTTACCATTGTGTGAAAGTGATATAACTGTATACTTTGAATTTTGTATTTTAAGTTTTCCATGGACCATGTGATCAAATTTTAGGGGTAAACAACCATAGCCTACAGTATATGGTGGTATTTGGTTGGTTAGGTGTATTCAATGCATTTTCCATTTATAATATTTTCAAATGATGGGTTAGTCAGGATGTAATGCCATGGTAAGTTGAAAAGTATCAGTATTTGGCAAAGAGTGGTAATGGCTGATGACTACCTTACCCCTACAAGGTGATATCCCTAAATTCCACATGGAAGTCAAGCAAAAGCCTGCCTATGCTTTTCACATATTCCTCTCACTTTTCTGATCCTCTGGGGCTTTGTTCCTGAGCAAGGATTGTGGATTATTGTCCCACCATGTAATAGGCAGTTCCTACTCCTGCTCAGCAGGAAGTCATCACATCCTATTTTCATCTTTTCTGAGTTGTTCTTTACTCTCCCTGGCTTTTCATGGGCTTGAATGTATAATGATTTCTTGCAAATGGCATTAACTAAAGGAATGAAAAATAAATGACCTTATTTCAAAGTTATTTCTGTGTATATAATCTGCCTGGTCAGTATATCATGATGGCCACCAATTTGCCATGAAAGTTTTCCATTTATGTAAGAGTAAGTAGTACTTAAGGCTTACTTGGTACCTTCCCAAATGGTTTTTGGAGCCCTTCTTAGACTAACCAAATTTTATCAAAATTTGGGTAGCAAATTCTACTCTTTTCCCTTTCAAAATAACTATTACAACTTCTTATATCATTCATGGTACACTCTGAGGTATGTTGAGTTTATTAGTGTGTACCCTTGAAGTGTACCATGATGTCTTGCTTCACTTAACGTGTTTATAAATGAACTG